TTCCCGCCCGCTCGCCGCGCGTCTTAAGGTCTTTTCTGCCAAGTGTGCATGCTGGCGTGGCTCCAGCCCCACTCCACTTTTCTGGGGCCCCCGCGATGCTCGCCTGGTGCAGGGCACGGATCGCCTCCCCCCCCCCCCAGCCCCCAGCTGAAAATACTCCCAGCAGCAGAAAGGAATGCGCTCCTTGCCTCCAGCCTCATGACACGAATTTCGCTGGTGCCTCCCTTGCTCCTTAGTCCCGTGGGTCCCAAACTTGGCGGGGCGTGGGCCTCCCTCGGAGATCTTTAAACAATACCCGCGCCCACCTCCCGCCTCCCACCTCCAGGCGTTCTCGTGTGATTGGGGTAGGCTCTGACCTGAGCGTCAGGACTTTGAAAACTTCCCCGGATGATTCCGATGTGCTGCGGAGTTTGGGATCCGCCGCCCGGGACCAAAATCACACGGTGAATTTGAACTTTGGGCTGGGGCGGGAGGCGCGGGAGGGGCATGGAGGACTTCTGGGGGTTGACAGAGGTGACCGACCCGGGCTGTTTGCCGTAGAATGCAGCCATCCCGCTGTCTGAAGGGGAAGCTTTCTTGCAAGAGGGTCTCTGACTTGGGACAGCCGGTTGGAGGCGTTGCACCCTGGGGAGTAAAATCCCTGCGGTGTCTTACATGACAGGGCTCGGAAAGGGACAGGGAACCAGTCTTCCCCTTTCTTCTTTGGACGACCTGGAATCCTCCTTAAAGAGGGCTTTCTGGAAGCTTTCTCTGCCAGCCAGGCCGGCCAGCATGCCTGGTTTACTTGTCTTGGCTCTTCTGGTTCATTTTATGTGTTTTTTCCCCCCCGCTTCCTTGCTAACCAGACCCCAGGTATGGAACCGTGCTGTCCTGATCTTTTAATTTGGCTCGAAGGCAAACCTGGGGCCATGTCCGGACAGGTAATGATTATCTGACGTTTAGGTAGCTCTTGCCACAGGCCAGAAACTCTCCTAACCCCTCGACTTCCTGTGGCTCACCTGCTTTCCACGATACTCCAGTGAACTGTGCGCCCTTGTTAGCCCCATTTTCCAGAGGGACGAGCTGAAGCCACTTCCCCAAGGCCACCCAGTGGGTAAGTGGCCTTGCTGGGATGGAGCCCCAGGGAGTTTGGATGCGGAGGCTCTACACTCAAACCCTACATTATGCTGCTCTTCACTAGGTAGCTAATTAACTACCTGTGTGGGTGTGTTACCTTTATTATTTTCACTAAAAAATGGAATGCTTGAGGACCGATGGGGTTTTGAGGTGCTGCTTTTAATAAAAAAGGCAGTGGGAGCCCCGGGCAGCCTCTCGTCAGCCCCGGGGCCTGCAGCCGGGGCCCCGCCCACCTCACCCACAGGGTACCCCGGCTCCCGGTCAGGGTCAGCTCCCGCGAGCGTTGCTAATCTGGTGTTTAACAGCACCCTGCACGCTGATGAGGCACCGAGGACGCTTTCCAGGAGCGGACGTAGGCAGGATCTCGGTCTGGGGAGGGGGACAGGAGCCTGCCCTGCCTCTCGGAGCTGAACTGACTGACGGTTTCAAATGCGCAAGCGGGGGCAGGCGGCCAGCAGGGCCCGGTTTCCTCTGGTGGCCCCTCAGTGTCATGTGCCAGGCCACGTGGGTCTGGGTTTCAGCCTCTTCTGCACAGGGTGATTCTGACCCCCAGTGCCCGGTGCTGCTTCCCCAACGCTGGTGGCCCGTGTCCCAGCGGGGGGTGGGGGAGGGGGGGGGGGCGCGGGCTGGCCCCCGCCCCCCCCCCCCCCCCCCCCCCCGGTCCCTGAGGTCCTCAGCGCCTCGTCGCCCCACTTCTTCTGCCGGACTCACGTGTTAAGTCGGCTCACGCTTCATTTCATCGGGAGGCCCCGTTCCCCACCCTTCACTTTGTTTTAAGAGGCTGGACTCGCCGTCTGGACAACGGCCCATTCATGCTGGGTGTCCGGCTGGCTGGGAGACCGTCCTCACCCAAGACATCAGAGGCACTGGGGCCAGGCTGGGTGGGAACGCCCCCCCCCCCCACCCCCCCCCCCCCCGGTACTTCCTGAGCACCTACTGTATGTTGTGTGCTGTTCTGGAGACCTGGGCGACATAGCACCGAACAGGACGTTCAAGGCCCCTGCCCTCCTGGAACTGGCGTTCTCGTGGGCGAGACAGAGTCACCAACTTACATGTGGCTTGATACCTGTTGTTCGGGCAAAAGGCTGGGTAAGGGTGTAGTACCATAGACGGGGTGGTCAGGAAAGTGATGGTGAACAGAAACCAGAAAAAAAAATGAGGGCGTGGACTCTGTGGTCACGGGGCTGAAGTGTGTGCCAGTCCGGGAGGATGGCACGTGCAAAGGTCCTGAGGTGGGAACAAGATAGGCGCATTCAAGGAGCAGCGAGGAGGCTGGCAGAGGCCAGAGCAGGGACTTGGGAGCCAAGCTGCGGTCAGAAAGTTAACATTCCGTCTGGTCTTTTAAAAACGCGCTTGTGATTTTTTATTTGTATCTTTCAAAAGGCATCCCGGGCCCCCACAAGCCCTCAAATTAGAAACCCAAATCAGACTTGACTGCCTAGATCCTATGCCCTGAGGAATAGGATCCGTGCGGGGCTTGCCCCCACGCGGGTGCCCTGCTCCCCTGCAGGACATGGGGACGGCCAGGGCTGCCTGTGGGCCGGAGGGCTCGCCCGTCAGCTGCTCTCATCTGGCAGATGATTGAGCCAGGCCAGGCGAGGGACCCCGCGTGAGCAAGACACAGGCCGTCCGTCCATCCTTCCCTCGAACTCCCGGCGCCTGGGCCTCCAGCCCGAGGTGGGGCAGACACCCCATGTCCTCTGTCCCTCCTCCCTGGCCTGCCCGGCTGAGCTGTGGGGATCGAGGGGCACTGGGGAGCGGGACGAGCTGTCTGTGGGGGTGAGGGGGGCTGTGCATCAGACGCCGTCTCCCCCCATCCCGTGAACACGGGGGGGGGGGGGTTCAGGGAACCAGCCCTGAAAAGCCCATGCCCTCAGGGAGGCCACAGACAGCGTCTGGGGTCTCGGGCCTTGCTCTGTGGGTGCCCATTTGAGAGAACAGCCGCCACTGGGGTGAGTGAGATGTGGACAGGTCTGAGTCTGTGGCACATGAGGGACCCGGCCCGTCGTGTTGTGGTGACAGGAGGTGACAGGTCGGGGCTGTTTCCTACTCGGATAGCGTTCTCCTGCCCTGGACTCCTTCACACATGGCTCCCGGCGCCCCATCCCATCTCCTGACTCTGCTTCTACGTCGATTGCACTTCTGAGTGGCACGCCTGAGGATTTCCCTAAGGATGAGGTTCTGGTTCCCTGGACCAGACTCTGAAGGGAGCCCTGGGGGCCAGATGTAGGCAGAACCAGAGGTTGGGAGCGAGGTTCTGCGCCCCACCCGGGAAGCTTCCCGGGACTGCCCAGCCCTTGGAGAACACCCATGGTCACAGCCGCCTCAGGATGGTGGCTGGCACCCCTCCCTCCGTGCCTCCAGGAGTCCTGGCTCTTCTCATTTCTGTTTCTGGACCGTGATGGTGAAACCAAGGATAACGGAGGGAGGTAGGGATTTAGGGGGTTTGTGCCCGGGGTTGGGAAGGATGGAAGGGTGGAAAGACAGATGGACAGATGAATGATTGCTTGCACAGATGGCTGGATGGATGGGTGGACGGATGGATGGATGGATGGATGGGTGGACGGATGGATGGATGGACAGATGGACGGATAAATGGATGGATGGATGGATGGA